TGTATTCTGTGGAGCTCTTCTAAACTTCGTCGATGGTCAAAATGTTCTCTAGAATCTCCAATCCTTAAATTACCTAGACCGTCTAGGTTCTCTAGAATCTCCATATTTACTAAGATCTCTAAATTTATAGATTTTCTGGATTCTTTAGGCTTTCCAAGGTTCCTAAATTCTCTAGACTCTATACCGTCTAGAGTTATTAGGCACTAATCTAAGGAATCTAGATCCTCTAGATGTTCTAAAGTTTCTAGATTCTTTAGGCTCTAAACTCCGGAAATTCTCTAAATTCGCTCTAGATTCTATCGCGAATAAAATTAGAAATAGATTATCTAGGTTCTCTGAAGTCTCGATATTCTCTAAGATTTATACCTTTTCTTGACTTTCTAGCGACTGTAGTCCTATAGTATATATAGAACTTAGTGATTATAGACAATCTCGGATGTCTATAATCACAAGGTTCTCTATACTCTGCATTCTATAGCCTCTAGGATTTCTAGATTACATAGATTTTCTAAAGTTTCTAGATTTTCCAAATTATCTATGCTTTGAAGACTCTCTGAACTCTGTAAATTCCCTCTAGATTCTCCATTCCCTAAATTGTCCAGATTATCTATCTAGGTTCTCCAGAGTCCCCAGTTTCTCAAGACTTGCAAAATTTTATAGATTTTTGGGCGTAGTTACTGCAAGTTGCGTAAAATGTTTTAATTCTGGACCATTTAAAGTGTCTAGATTTTTCAGACTGATTATAGCTTTTAAACGCCATGCCAAGGTGTCTAGAGTATCTAGATTTTTTAAAGTATCTGGATTCTCTAGGCTGTCTATGCTTTGAAGGCTCTCTAAATCCTCTCTAGATCAATCCCCAAACTGCCTATATTACTTAGCTTTTCTAGAGTCCCCCTATTTTCCAAGATTTCTAAACTCTAGATTTACTACATTTTATAGATTTTTTTAATCTTCTAGTTACTGTAAGCTCTCTAAAGTGTTTTGATTCTAGACCATTAATCACCTAGATTCTTCGGACTGTCCGTAGTTTACAGACGCGATATCCTGTAGATATTTCTGGTTCTCTAAACTCTTTAAGGTTTATAGACTCTCTAAGCTCTCTGTGTTGTAGGTTTCGTAGATACCGTAGATTATCTATAACCGGGGATCCCTCTAGACTCTACAAACTCTCTGTATTCTATACCCTCTAAACGCTATAGTAAGGTGTCGAGAGTCTCTAGATTTTCTAAATTTTCTAGATGCTCTAGATACTCTATGCTCCGAAGGCTCTCTAAACACCCTAGGTTCCGTAAATCCTCTCTAGATTCTCCAATCCCTAAATTGCCTATATTATCTAGATTTTCTAGAGCCCCGACATTCCCTAAGATCTCTAAATTTTAGACTATATTTTATAGATTTTCCGGACTCTCTAGCTATTGTAAGCTCTACAAAACGTTTAGATTTTAGACAATTTAAATTATCTAGATTCTCTAGGTGGTTTATAGTTTCTTCTAGACACTAAACTCTGGCAGATATTCCCGGCTCCCTAGGCTTTTTGAAGTTTTTAAACTATCTAGGCTTAATAGGTTTTGTAGGATTTCTAGATATCTAAAATTTTCTAAAATAAGGAGGCTCTTTAGACTCTATAGATTCTCTACCTACACCCTACACCGTCTAGAGTTTCTAAGCGCTAAACCAAGATGTTTTAAAACTTCTAGATTCTCTAGATTCTAAACGCTCTAAGGGCTCTCCAAACTCCGGAGATTCTCCAAGTTTTCTCTAGATTTTACAAGCCCTAAATTGCTTAGATTGATTAGTGGTAATATTTTTCCGCCATCAGGAATAAATAACAATCTCTTTTCTTTTAATGACGGCACAATAAAAAAAGAAGAGTGTTTTTAGTCATAATGACAGAAAAATATTACCATAAAATAATAGCAAAAATTTCAATAAAAACTGCCACGAATAAAATTAGCAAACTCTGCAGACTCTAGACTCTGCTAGATTTTACAGATTTTTTTGGGATCTCTAGCTACTGTAAGCTTTCTAAATTATATACTCTGTAGATACTTCTATCTTTCTAGGCCTTATTAGGGTTTCTAACATCTCTAGGCTCTATGTTTTGTAGGGTTTCTACATACCCTAAACTGGCTATAATCATTGATCTCTTTAGAGTCTATAGATTCTTTGGACACTATAACCTCTTGGGTTTTTAGGTATTAAACTAAGGTGTCTAGATTTTCAAGATTTTCTGAAGATTTTAGATTCTCTATTTTCTGGAGGTATTCTAAATTCCGTCGACGCTAAAAGTGTTCTCTAGAATCTCTAGCTTTTCTAGAGTCTCTATATTCGCTAACATTTCTAAATTCTACACCTGCTGCATTTTATCGATTTTCTGGACTCATCAGGCTTTTTAAGGTTCTTAAATTCTCTAGACTCTCTAGATTCTCTAGATTTTATCTGCTCTGAAAGCTCTCTAATCTTCGAAAACTGTCTAAATTCTCTCGAGTTTTTACAATCCCTAAATTGCTTAGATTATCCAATGATAATATTTTTCTAAATAACAATCTCTTTTCTTTTAATTGCGACGGTCGCCGCACAATAAAAAAAAAGAAGAAATAATAGCAAAAATTTAAAAAATAAAAACTCCCGCAAATAAAATTGGAAAGAAATTATCTAGGTTTTCTAGAGACTCGATATTCTCTAAGGTCCGCAGACTCTAGACTTTGCTAGATTTTATAGATTTTCTGAAATCTCTAAATTCTTCTTTAATCTGTCTGTAGTTTCTACACAAACTACTCTATTCAGGCTTTCTAGGCTCTTCAGGGTTTCTAACACGTCTAGGCTGAATAAGTTTTGTACGGTTTCTACATACCCCAGACTATCTATAATCAGTTGTCTCTCTAGAGTCTGCAGATTCTCTGGACTCTATAACCCCTTGAGTTTTTAGGCATTAAACTAAGGTGTCTAGATTCTCAAGATTTTCTGAAGTTTCTAGATTATCTATTCTCTATAGATCTTCTAAACTCCGTTGATGCTTAAAATCCCTAAATTACCTATATTGTCTAGGTTCTCTAGTCTCCATATACTCCAAGATCTCTAAATTCTATACCTGCTGCATTTTATAGATTTTCTGAAAATTCTTTAGACTCTATGCCCTCTAGGGTTTCTAGGTACTAAACTAACGAATCTGGATCCTTTAGATGTTATAATGATTCTAGATTCTATACGTTCTGAAAGCTCTATAAACTCCAGAAACCCCCTAAATTCTCTCTACATTTTGCCACGAATAAAATTAGAAATAGATTATCTAGGTTTTCTGGAGGCTCGGTATTCTCTAAGATCCCTAGATTCTAGACCTGCTATATTTTATAGATTTTCTGGACCCTCTAGCTACTATAAACTCTCTAAAATGTTTAGATTCTAGATACTCACTTCTGGGGAAGCTGTCTCTATTTTGTCAGACTCTTTACACTCTTATTAAAGCTCTCTAGGTTTTTTAAACTGTGACTTCAGTTTTTAGACTTCAGACGATTTAAATTGTCTGAATTCTTTAACAAAATTAATCATTTTAAAGCCATACAGGATTTAATTCTTGTTGTCATAACATCACCTAGCTTTCTAAATTCAGTCACAGAAAGTTAGATTCAGGTTATGTTGTAAAACTGCGAATTCATCATAATAATGCACATTTTTAAGAACAAAGTGAATTTCCAGCCAAATTCATTAAAATTTTATACAGGGTTAGTCACGAGAGAATTACTTCTGAAAATTATTTTTACGCAACCCAAAATACTAATACCCTGTACCACTTGATATTATTTAAATTTGAAATGAAATGCCTAATCCATGATTGCGTTGACTCTGGCAGTGTCACTTTGACGTTAATTAATTTTTAACATTTTTTTTCATCGTTGACTCGTCTCTAGAGCCCCATTGGATCGACGACATACAGTCAGATCAATCTGGGCTATACTGAAGCCGTAAGTGCTCTACCAATGTTGTTCGCCGCTAATGTGCATGTGTTAATTCGCCATCTCTGCGTCACCTAGAGCCTCTTCGAAGTGCAAATCTGCAACCTCTGGACTTCTTCGGCCATCCATTTACAAAAAAGCCGTAGCATCCCCCCAAAATGCCCAACATTTTCAACAGATTAGTAGTTAAATTATTTACTTACTTGTTTGAGTTTGTGTTGTAACCTTTGAATAAAATGCCGTAAAGGAATTTTTAGAAATAATTTTCTCGTGTTTAATCGGTTGCAAAAGATCAAGAGGCACACTGACAAATTTATTAGCGGCGCCGGAGGAGATTTCCGACTGGCTGCGGTACCACCATGGACACTCGCGTAACCTCCTTTTCCACAATTGTCAAAATGAGATTGCCAAACTCAAAGCAATCATGGATTAAGCATTTCATTTTAAATTCAGTTAGTATCAAATGGTACATGGTATTCGTATTTTGGGTTGCGTAAAAATAATTTTCAAAAGTAATTCTCTCGTGACTAACCCTGTATATTTTTTAAATTAACAACTGCTAATTTTCGCCCGATTTGGTTCTATCAACAAATTTTTGGCTAAATAGATCACAAATCAAAAAATCATTGGTAGAAAACAATAAATATCAAGTAAAATTAAACAAAATTATGCAACACATAATACACTTTGATGCAATATTTGAAATTGCAACATTTAATGGTATTTTTGAACAAATGATGCGACAGTGGAGAATGTTTAAAGGCACTTAAAACTTTAATGGTTTGATCAAAAGTTTATCGTAAAGGTGACTTTTTATTGCCATTGCCGTGATCTAGAAAATTGACAATACAATATCTCCATTATTTTGAAGCAATAAATAAGGCTCTTACGGAATTTTCCCGACAAATTTAATGTTCTCGATAAAATCCAAATTCTATGCAGCAAAAAATTACTAGTCGTTTGAAACTCGAAACAATCATAATTAAATGTGAATTTTATAAAATTTTATAAATGTAATGTGTAAACTTTCAAAGGAATAATTCTCACCTATAATTTTATTCCATTGGTCTATGTGATCAGTCCCTGGGAACAGCACGCCCCCTCTAATCATTTCACCCATAATGCATCCGACGCTCCAAATGTCCACGTTCTCCGTATAACCCATACCTAGGATGACCTCCGGGGCCCTATAATACCTAGTAACCACGTACGGTGTCATCATGAACGTGGTTCCAGCGGTACGCGCCAAACCAAAGTCTAATATTTTCAATGTACAATCTGATTTAACTACAATATTGCTTGGTTTGAGATCCTGAAACAAATCATCCGTAACACCTCTAAAAACCCCAACTCAGACAACAATTACCCTATGTATAATACCAGCCGAATGTAAATGTTTAATACCGCAAAGCATCTGATAAAGAAGATAGCTCATCCTTTCATGGTCCAAGTCCATCTGGATGACTTGACACAGATTCGCGTCCATTAATTCCATCACTAAATAAACATCTTGGAAGTCTTCTAAGGACCTCTGAGGCGTGAAAGCGTTCAAAAGTCCGATAATCTGTCAAATGTTTGTCTTTATCTCGAGTCACAAGGTCTACGCAAACTTACATTTTTGTGATTAACTAGTTTCATGAGCTTAAATTCACGATACGCCCTTTTGGCATGCGTTACATTTTGAAATGGCCTACTTAACTTCTTAATAGCTACATTCTGTTGAGTTTCTGTGTCGACGGCGGCGCTAAAACACAAACCTATACTCGAAAAGACCCAGATGGTAAGTCACTAGACCACTCCACACAATTATGCACATGCAAGACGTGTTAAAAAAAACAAAAGGTGATCGGGAAGGTGCGCCCACAGTGGCTTAGAATCGAAAAACATGGGCAGAAATATTTATTATTTTATTATTTAGTGTAATTTTATCTAACTAGGGTGAGGGAAAAAATTACAATGGAATAAATTCCAAATAACGAAACAATAACAATTGTTTTATTTTTAAGCCATAAAGTTCTATGTCTTTTTTAAATGGAATTTTCACCTACACATTTTTTTGTACCTACTATATTTTACGTTGAATAGTTCTTTAATCTAAACGAAACAATATTTCAATTAAGATAACAAAAGCGTCCTATAGTAACAGTTTTATATAAATTTGCTTGATGATTAAAAATTTGACCACATATTTTAAATTTTATCTTACACAATTATTAAGTATACCGGGTGTCTCAACGATTTGGGGACGAAACAACCGTTAATCATGGAAACTATTGAAAATGCCGAAATCGAACTGTTAAAAGTTGAAACATCGGAATATCTGTAAGTCGAGAAACTGAGAAACCAAAAAATTTGAAAAATAGAAAAATTGAAAAACCGAAATATCGAAAAATTAAATATTTTGAAAATCAAAAAACTGAAAAATTGGAATTCGAAAAATTGAAAAATCGAAAATTTTAAAAACTGAAACATGAAAAAATCGAAAAATCCGAAACTTCAGGAAATCGAAAAATTGATGAATTGAAAAATTCCAAAACTGAAATGACGAAAATTGAAAAGCTGAAAAATCGGAAAACCTTGAAATTAAAAAATAGAAAAACTGAAAACTGAAACATCGAGAAACGAAACTTCAAAAGATCGAGAAATTGAATAGCCAAGAAGTCGAAAAATCGAAAAATTGAAAAACGGAGAAATCGAAAACATCCAAAAAGAAAAAATGAAATTTTAAAAACCAATCATTTATAAATTGAAAATTAAAATCGAAAAATTGTGTAATCGAGAAAGTAAAAAATCGAGAACTCGGAAAATTTAAAAACTGAAGAATATTGCAAAATACCAAAATTGAAAAATCGAAAAAGTAAATAAAAGATTGAGAAATCGAAAAATTCCGAAACTGAAAATGGAAAAGTCGAAACATCGAAAATCTGAAAAATTGAAAAACTGGAAAATCTGAAAATTGAAGTAAAAAAACAAAAAATCGATTAATCGAGACACTGAGAAATCGAAAAATCGAAAATTTAGAAATATCTGAAACTGAAAAATCGTAAAACTGGGACATCGGAAAATTGAAAAAACCAGAAATTAAAAAATTCCAGAACTGAAAATCGGGACACCTTGAAATCGAAAAGTCGAGAAATCGAAAAATTGAAATCGCCCAAAATCGAATAGTAAAAAATTGCAAAATTGAAAATTTGAAAAATCTGGAAATGGAACAATCGAAAAATCTAAACGTCGAAATTTCATTAAATTGACAAATCAAAACATTGAAAAATAAACAAAGCAAAACACCGACAAATTGGAAAATCGAAAAAGTAATAAATAAAATATAGGAAAACGAAGTCGAAAAATCGAAAATTTGAAAAATAAAAAAACTGAAAAATCAAAAATCTGGGAAATTGGAGAAGTAAAAAACTGAAAAATCGGGAAATCGAGGTCGGAAAAACAAAAAATCGATTAATCGAGAAATTGAGAAATCGAAAAATCAAAAATTTAGAAATGTCTAAAAGTGAAAAATTGAAAAATCGAGAAATGCAAATAAACATAAAAAAATTGAAAACCAAAATATCGAAAAATCCAAAATTTAAAAAAAGAAAAGTCGAAAAACCAGAAAACCATGAATTGAAAAACTGGAATATTGAGAAACCAAACATCAAAGATTAAGAAATCGAAAAGTCAAAAGTCGAAAAATCGAAATTCCTCAAAATCGAAAAGTAAAAAAATATGCAAAATTGAAAAATTTAAAATTAAAAAAATCGATAAATTGAAATATGTAGTCAAATCTCGATAAACTGAGAAATCGAAAAATTGAAAAATCTAAAACTGAATTGAAAAAGTAAAATATAGCAAAATCGGAAAATCGAAAAACTGCGGAATGGAAATATGTATTGAAAATACCAAAACTGAAATATGGAAAAAATTTTTAAATTAAAATTCAAAAATCGAAAAAAAAAATCGAAAATCGAAGAACCGACATAATGAAAAATTCCAAAACTGAAATATCGAAAAACTGAAAAGTCAAAAATCGAAAATCTAAAAAATTAAAAACTGAAAAAATAAAAATATGAGAAATTGAAAATTTGAAGTGAAAAACTGAAAAATCGGTAAATCGAAGTAAAAAAATCAAAAAATTGAAAAATCGTAAAATGAAAAATCGAGAAATTTAAAAATCGAAGAATCGAAAAATTGAAAAATCCAGAAATATAAAAAAACTGAATAATCGACAAATCGAAAAACCCCAAATTTAAAAAATAGAAAAAATGAAAAATCGGTAAACTGAACAACTGAGAAACTGAGAACTCAAGAAATCGAAAAATACCAAAATTGAAATCATGAAAATTGAGAAATCGAAAAACTAAAACATCAAAAATCAAGTAATCGAAAAATTGAAAATCGAACAATCGAAAAATCAAAAAATGGAAAAATTAAAAAATCTAAAACTGAATCGAAGAAGTAAGAAGCCGAGAAATCGGAAAATCGAAAATGTGAAGAATGGGAATGTTATTGAAAAATTGAAAAAGTACAAGATCGAGAAATCAGAAAATTGAAAAAAATCCCAAAACTGAAAATTAGGGAAATCGAAAAATGAAAAAATCGAGACATCCAAATATCAAAAAATTGAAAACCGAGAAATTGACAATCCAAAATTTAGAAAATAGAAAAACTGAAAAATCGGAAAATCGAAAAACTGAAACATCCAGAAACGATCATGAAATGGAAAAATCGAGAATCGAAAAATCGAAAAATTAAAAAAAAAAAATCGAGAAATCGAAAACTCGAAGAATTGGAGAACCGAAATATTGAAAAAATCCCAAAACTGAAATATGCGAAAACCGAAAAGTCGAAAAATCGAAACTCTCAAAGATAAAAAAACTGAAAAATAGGGAAATCGAAGTCAAAAAACCAAAAATCGATTAGTCGAGAAATTAAGAAATCGGGAACTCGAAAATTTAGAAATGTCTAAAATTGAAAAATCGTAAAACTGGGACACTGGAAAATTGAGAAATCAAAAAATGAAAAAATCGAAAAATTGAAGAATCGAAAAATTGAAAAATCGAGAAAACCAAATTTAAAAAATTGAAAAACCGAGAAATTGAAAATCCAAAATTTAGAAAATAGAAAAATTGTAAAATCGGAAAATTGAAAAACTGAAACATCCAGAAACGAAACATCAAAGATCAAGAAATGGAAAAATCGAGGAACGAAAAATTTAAAATTAAAAAAAAATCGATAAATCGAAAAATTGAAAAATCTAAAATTCAAAACTTGAGAAAGTTAAAAATCGAGAAATCGAAAACTCGAAGAATTGGAGAACCGAAATGTTAAAAAATTCCAAAACTGGAATATGTGAAAACCGAAAAGTAGAAAAATCGAAACTCTGAAAAACAAAAAAACGAAAAATCGGGAAATCGAAGTTAAAAAACCAAAAAATCGATTAGTCGGGAAATTGAGAAATTGAAAAATCGAAAATTTAGAAATGTCGAAAATTGAAAAATCGTAAAACTGGGACATCGGAAAATCGAGAAATCGAAAAATGAAATATCGCAAAATTGAATAATCGAAGAATCGAAAAATTGAAAAATCGAGAAATCCAAGTATCAAAAAATTGAAAAACCGAGAACTCGAAAAATCCAAAATTTAGAAAATAGAAAAATTGAAAAATCAGAAAATTAAAAAACTGAAACATCGAGAAACGAAACATCAAAGTTCAAGAAATGGCAAAATCGAGAATCGAAAAATTGAAAAATCTAAAATTGAAAACTTGAGAAAATTAAAAATCGAGAAATCGAAAACTCGAAGAATTGGAGAACGGAAATATTGAAAAATTCCAAAACTGAAATATCCAAAATTTGAAATATCGATAATAAAAGATCGAGATATCTAAAAATTGAATCAAAACATTGAAAAAATCCCAAAACTGCAATATGTGAAAACCGAAAAGTTGAAAAGTCGAAACTCCGAAAAATAAAAAAAAAACGAAAAATCGGGAAATCGAAGTCAAAAAACCAAAAAATCGATGAGCCGGGAAATTGAGAAATTGAAAAATCGAAAATTTAAAAATGTCGAAAATTGAAAAATCGTAAAACTGGGACATCGGAAAATCGAGAAATCGAAAAATGAAAAGATCGAAAAATTAAATAATGGAAAAATCGAAAAATTGTAAATCGAGAAATCCAAGTATCAAAAAATTGATAAACCAAGAACTCGAAACATCCAAAATTTAGAAAATAGAAAAATTGAAAAATCAGAAAATTAAAAAACTGAAACATCGAGAAACGAAACATCAAAGTTCAAGAAATGGCAAAATCGAGAATCGAAAAATTGACAACTTGAGAAAGTTAAAAATCGAGAAATCGAAAACTCGAAGAATTGGAGAACCGAAATATTGAAAAATTCCAAAACTGAAATATCCAAAATTTGAAAAATCGATAATAAAAGATCGAGATATCGAAAAATTGAATCAAAATATTGAAAAAATCCCAAAACTGAAATATGTGAAAACCGAAAAGTTGAAAAATCGAAACTCCGAAAAATAAAAAAAAAACGAAAAATCGGGAAATCGAAGTCAAAAAACCAAAAAATCGATTAGTCGGTAAATTGAGAAATCGAAAATTTAGAAATGTCGAAAATTGAAAAATCATAAAACTGGGACATCGGAAAATCGAGAATTCGAAAAATGAAAAGATCGAAAAATCGTAAAATTGAAAAATCGACAAATCCATCTATCAAAAAATTGAAAAACCGAGAACTCCAAAAATCCAAAATTTAGGAAATAGAAAAATCAGAAAATTAAAAAACTGCAAGATTGAGAAACGAAACATCAAAGTTCAAGAAATGGCAAAATCGAGAATCGAAAAATCGAAAAATTTAAAATAAAAAAAATCGAAAAAACGAAAACTAAAAAAATCAAGAAAACAAACGATCAAAATCTAAACTGAATTGAAAAAATTAAAAATCAAGAAATTGGAAATTCGAAGAATTGGAGAACCGAAATATTGAAAAATTCCAAAACTGAAATATCGAAAAATTTATATAACATTTACTATTATTATAAAAATTTTGGTTAGCGGCCTACATCTACATGATATTCCTAATATAAATACAAAATTTAATTACAATCTATCCAGGCAGTTTCGGAGATTTTTTGTCTAATAAATTTCCGGACAAATGGCATTCCGACAGGCAGACAGAGAGACGGGAAACCTACTTTTTCGTACTCCTGCGGTCACGAAACGTCGAGAAAACATGAAAGTAGTAAGTCGTCCACCGGACTCGTTTACAATACTTCCTTGGCATACACTCGAGAAGTAAAAAGAGATCTGACCACACATTTTAAATTTTATCTTAAATATCAAAGAGGTCTATAATGTTGATGTAGACAGTCACTCACTTCGCAACAGCACCCTCACCTACATGTTCACAACATCTCGGTCGTTGTGCGAGCTCTATTTGTATAACTTTTAAAAGCTCTTTATACTTTAATTAAGATTCTAAAAAACTTCACTTAATAATTAAAAAAAAAAAAAAAATATGAAGAAGTATACAGGGTGTCTTAATGATATGGGGACGGAACAAGTGGTAATCATGTAAACTATTGAAAATGACCGACTCTAATAGAACTAGTTTTTTTTTTTTTTTGTACTAAAAGAACGTGAACTTTTAATTGTACAAATGATTGCATAAAGAGTGTTTCCACTTTCAGTAATTTAATTCTAAGTTAATTTGATCCATAGAACCTTTCAAGATGCAAATTTCTATTAACTACATTCTTGCTTAACACTACAGTTAAGAGGATTATATTCATCAAATTGTATTATGCTTATATTGTCCTATTTTCAGGAAATCAAATCTTGTTACAGCAGTAGTCATTCTTTCAAATATATTTTTAATAAATGGCAAAAAAAGTATTTTTTTCTATTCATATACACACTTCTTTAATGCATACTAAACAATGTTAGAGGAAAGCCGTTTTCGTGGATTGGCGGTCCTGTATTGGCCGTGATTGTGGACTGTATAAATTTCCCCATATTTTCCGTAATTCAAGCCACTGTGCGTCGGAAGGGTGCCCACTTACCAAACTAACCCTTGTGCCCCACCGCCTTTGGGTTGCAAATCAATGTACCGATCGGGAACCCAAAATTCCGCATCTTCGAAAATGTGCTGTGTAAATCCGGGCCTCATCGACGACATCATGCACTATTTACTATGTTTTAAAACGCCAACACACAAAATAAATAACACACGAGAGAAATTAGAGGCACACGGATAATATAGCAAGCAGGACAAAACAACTGAACTAAAAGAGAAAACTGGAATTAAATCAAAATCAAACAAATCAAAATCTCACTACTCAGGCAATTGATTTCCGAAGCTCAAACCGCAGACTCACCAGACTATCCCTTGTGCACCGGACCCGATGGGCTTCAAATTTTGGTATCTCTTCAGTATGGTGAATTTGGTGTCACCCACCTCGACGGTGTAGAACTGAGACAGACGGGACATCTTATAGCGCCAGTCCCAATAGTTCGACGCCGTCGTCTGAAAAAACAACCTGATAAAGGTACGTTAAAATCCGATCGTACGATTCTGAGAGTGGCACTGTTAGTTCTGCACTCTTGAAAGCGCTGACCGCAAGCTGGGTTAAATTGAGTGATTAGCATGGGTTATCGGAGTAGCTCCACACGGTGTATAATTGGTTGCATAAATCCATCGCGAGGCCGCGGAGTTCGAGAGTGCCGCGTGAAAATTCGATTTTCTGTCGAGTTAAGCCCTCCGAAATAAATTTAACGCCTGTTTTCATGCTCGCTGAAGTGCGTTACTTTATTTTTACGATGGTTTTAGTGACAACAACAAAAAAGTGGCCGACGCCAACGGCAGCGGGTTTTGTCTTTCTAGGGCAAGCGGCTTACGGCAATGCAGAAGAGTAAAATGAGTGTTTACTACGATGTGTACGGAAGAGATGCTTTTTTCACTGCCACGGGTATTTACGCACAAAATCATTTCTTTAAAAGGAACAAAGGAAAATTGATGTAGTTGTGAAATGCTACTACGAGTAGAATCATTTCAAATGGTAGCTTTTACCATACTCGCAAACCTTGGCGTGTAAAATTAGCTTTGTATACTCTTACAATTTATTATTATTTAATGATTCGATTTAAAAGCCTACAAGAAGAAAATTGAGTATGTTAAATGTGCTAGTTTTCCTCGTTTTTAATTGAAAAATTAATTCAATAATAATAAATATTAAAACCTTTAACCAGTATACAGTTTGTCCGACTCAATCTGGGTTAGTTACTTAAACAATGCAGTGGATGCAATACTTTTTATAACTTGACATTTTTTTTTTAGAAAATCAGAAATACTTTTTTACACCTGTAAAACTCAATCCGGGACATACATACTACATACATTATTTACAGGTTTTTTAAACTTATTATTTTTTATTTGTTTTATTACCTCGAAAATAAATAAATACATTCATAACCGTAAAATCTTAATATGACATTTTTTAAACAAATTTTTTAAGTATTTTATTCAGAAAAATCAAGTCACTTCTTACTTCCCACGAGTAAATTAAGTATTGCAATAGGGTTAATTTCATATTTTGAATTATTGTATAGCTCTTAATAATGAAAAAGTAGGTCTCCGGAGTGGTTATTGTTTGTTATGTTTTTTGTTTCCTCAGTCTTACGAATACAACAGAGTTTTTGGATGTTTAAATTTTTAGATTTTGCAATTTCTTAATTTGAGTTTCTCGAGTGTTCAATGTTCCGGTTTTATAAGTTTTTGTGTTTTCAATTTTTTCAATTTTTCGATTTGCAATTTTGCAATTATACAACATGCAACTCTTGGAGTTTACGTTTTTGATTTTTCTATTTTCGATTTTTCAACTTTTGATCTTTCAATTTTTAGATTTCATGTCTTCAATTTTTTGTTTCGGTTTTTCAATGATCTGATTTCCTAATTTTTCTATTCCTTAATGTAAAATTTTTCATTTTTTGTTTTTTTTTTGATTTTTCAATTTCAGATTTTTCAGTTTCTCGATTGTTCAATTTTTAGTTTCTTCAATTTTTGATTGAAATTTTTCTACTTTTCATTTTAAATAATGTAATATGTAATCATAATTTTTTAAATTTTCCACTTTCAATTTTACGATTTCGGCATTCGTCCATTTTTCAATTATTGGGGCTTTAAAACTTTTTCATTTATGCGATTTTTGAACTTTCCGATTTTAATTTTTCATGTCTTCAATTTTTCGAATTGCAATTTCTTGTTTCGGTATTTTTTCTTATTTTTTTTTTTCAATTCTTCGGTTTTTCGATGTTCTGATTCTCTAATTTTTCTCTTCATCAATATAAAATATTTCAAATTTTTGTTTCTTGGATTTTTCACTTTACAACTTTTGGATTTCTCAATTTTCAGATTCTCTAATTTTTCGATTTCAGATTTTTCAATTTTTTGTTTCTTCAATTTTTGATTTACAATTTTTCTAGTTTTCATTTTAAATATGTAATAATGATAATTTTTAAAATTTTCCACTTTCAATTTTACGATTTCGGCATTTTTCTATTTTTAGATTATTGGATTTTAGAACTTTTTCATGTATGCGAATTTTTAATCTTTCGATTTTCAATAATTCAGTTTTTAAATTTTCAATTTCTCGATATTTAATTTTTCGATTTTCCGATCTTGCAGTTTTTCGACTTCACAATTTCGACGATTTTATAATTTTTCGAATTACAATTTTTTGATTCAGTTTTAAATTTTCTTTATTTTTTTCAATTTTTCCGTTTTTCGAGGTTCTTATTTTCTAATATTTTTTTTCCTCAATGTAAAATTCTTCAATTTTTAGTTTCCCCCACTTTTGAATTTACAATTTTCCACTTTACAATTTTTGGAATTCTCAATTTCTACATTTTTTAATTTCTCGTTTTTTCAGTTTCTTCAATGTTTTATTTGTAATTTTTCTGGTTTGTGATAATTATAACTTCTAAAATTTTAGAGTTTTTCAATTCTACGAATTCTAATTTTTCGATTTTTTAATTTTCAACCTTTGGTTTTCCAATTTTTATTATTTTTTTTTCAATTTTATTTTTTTTTTCAATTTTCGATTTTTGATTTTTACTTTATCAAATTTTTAATATATATTTCAATTTTTCGATCTTGCAGTTTTTCGAATTTACAATTTTGACGACTCTACAATTTTTTCAATTACAATTTCACGAGTTACCAATTTTTAATTTTTCGATTTTTCAGTTTTTCGTGTCTTCAATTTCTCGAATTACAATTTTTTGTTTCAGTTTTATATTTTCTTAATTTTTTTCAATTTTTCGGTTTTTCGAGGTTCTCATTTTCTAATTTTTCTTTTCCTCAATGTAAAATTCTTCAATTTTTGGTTTCTTCCACTTTTCAATTTACAATTTTCCACTTTCCAATTTTTTTGGAATTCTCAATTTTTACATTTTTTAATTTTTCGTTTTTTCAATTTCAGATTTTTAAGTTTCTTGATTTTTCAATTTTTTGTTTCTTCAATTTTTGATTTACAATTTTTCTTGTTTTCATTTTAAATTTGTAATAATTATAATTTTTAAAATTTTCCACTTTTTCAATTTTACGATTTTGGAATTTTTTCATTTTTCTATAATTGGATTTTAAAAAACCTTTTTATTTATGCGATTTTTGAATTTTTCGATTTACAATTTCACGAGTTATTAATTTTTAATTTTTCGATTTTTCATTTTTTCATGTCTTCAATTGTTCGAATAGCAATTTTTTGTTTCGGTTTTTTATTTTCTTAATTTTTTTCAATTTTTCGGTTTTTCGAGGTTCTCATTTTCTAATTTTTCTTTTCCTCAATGCAAAATCTTTAATTTTTGGTTTCTTCCACTTTTAAATTTACAATTTTCCACTTTCCAATTTTTGGAATTCTCAATTTTTACATTTTTCAATTTTTCGTTTTTTCAATTTCAGATTTTTAAGTTTCTTGGTTTTTCAATTTTTTGTTTCGTCAATTTTTGATTTGCAATTTTTCTGGTTTTCCTTTTAAATTTGTAATAATTATAATTTTCAAAATTTTCCACTTTTTCAATTCTACGATTTTGGCATTTTTTCATTTTTCTATTACTGGATTTTAAAAAACCTTTTTATTTACGCGATTTTTGAATTTTTCGATTTACAATTTCACGAGTTACCAATTTTTAATTTTTCGATTTTTCAGTTTTTTATGTCTTCAATTTTTCGAATTGCAAATTTTTGTTTCAGTTTTATAATTTCTTAGTATTTTTCAATTTTTCGGTTTTTCGAGGTTCTCATTTTCTAATTTTTCTTTTCCTCAATGTAAAATTCTTCAATTTTTGGTTTCTTCGACTTTTGAATTTACATTCACTTTCCAATTTTTGGAATTCTCAATTTTTACATTTTTTAATTTTTTGTTTCGTCAATTTTTGATTTGCAATTTTTCTTGTTTTCATTTTAAATTTGTAATAATTATAATTTTTAAAATTTTCCACTTTCAATTCTACGAATTTGGCATTTTTCCATTTTTCAGTTATTGGATTTTAAAAAACCTTTTTATTTATGCGATTTTTGAATTTTTCGATTTCCAATTTCACCAGTTATTAATTTTTAATTTTTCGATTTTTCAGTTTTTCATGCCTTCAATTTTTCGAACTGCAATTTTTTGTTTCAGTTTTAAGTTTTCTTTATTTTTTTCAATTTTTCCGTTTTTCGAGGTTCTCATTTTCTAATTTTTCTTTTCCTCAATGTAAAATTCTTCAATTTTTCGTTTCTTCCACTTTTCAATGTACAATTTTCCACTTTCCAATTTTTTTGGAATTCTCAATTTTTACATTTTTTAATTTCCGTTTTTTCATCTTCAGATTTTTAAGTTTCTTGATTTTTAAATTTTTTGTTTCTTCAATTTTTGATTTGCAATTTTTCTGGTTTTCATTTCAAATTTGTAATAATTAAAATTTTTTAAATTTTTCACTTTCAATTCTACGATTTTGGCATTTTTCCATTTTTCGATTTACAATTTCACGATTTATTAATTTTTAATTTTTCGATTTTTCAGTTTTTCATGTCTTCAATTGTTCGAATAGCAATTTTTTTTGTTTCGGTTTTTTATTTCTTATTTTTTTTCAATTTTTCGGTTTTTCAATAACGTTCTGATTTTCTCATTTTCCAATTTTTCAATGTGAAATTTTTCAATTTTTCAATTTAAAATTTTCCACTTTCGAATTTTTGGATTTCTCAATTTTTAGATTTTTTAATTTTTCGTTTTTTCAATTTCAAATTTTTCAGTTTCTCGATTTCTCAAATTTTTGTTTCTTCAATTTGTGATTTGCCATTTTTCTAGTTTTCATTTTAAATATGTAATAATTATTTTTTTAATTTTTCTTCCAATTTACGATTTTCGCATTTTTCCATTTTTCAACTATTGGATTTTAAAGCTTTTCATTTGAATTTTCCGATTTTTAA